GAATAAGAAGGAAAAGAGACAAAAAAAGCCTCTGGCTAAGGTAAGAAAACGGTGGACGCTGGTCCTCAACATGTAATTTTCGATGTATGCTATCGCTTTTTCTCGTAAATAACAAGAAAAAGTATGTGTTTCCTGTACAAAGACTGCTTTTTTATCACTGATTTTGAAGGGGAACTTACATGTTTTGGTTTGATAACTTTTACGTCAATTGCAACTCTGATAACTTTTTGTTCATCCATTAACAGATAGCAACTTTCTGGGACATTAATCAGCAGCTCACCCTCACAATCCTCCAGCTCATCATACATATCGTGCGATAATCGCTCCAAATTTGGCTCCGCACGATGGCTCAATATCTACAAATTAAGGTGGTTTTCGTCACTCCTAATTCCTTCACAGTTAAATGAATTAAAAGAAAAAATTTATTCGACTAGCTGTAGGGGAAACGATTGAAAAATTTATTTGCAAAAATTTGTTTTCAGCATTATTTGACTGAATTTATTCGATTATCACGAATGAATTCCATGATTTCATAGTTAGTAATCGAGTTAGCCGAATAATTTGTCATTTAGACAACTACAGCCCCAAAAATCTCATAAAAATTGGGATGTTGGACAAAAATTTTACTTATTCCAAGAACTTCAACTATCCTCAATTTCCAAAATTAAAAATGTAAGGACCTAAGCAAATATAATTTTTTAAACATTCCGAAATGTGAGCATTTTACTGTAATGTGTTTCACTGAAGATTTTCAAAAATTACAAGGCAAAACAGGTGTCAAGATCATCAGCAAGCTGACCAACAGATGTAGGAACGCTGATCAAAGCGAATGGAAAAGTTGCCAACTGCATAGCTGGAGGAACAGGAGGCCACAAAACTATTTTAAGTATACCAAGTAAAGCTGTGTATAATTGTGGGCACCATGCACCAGTAAGTAACAAACGCATTTAAAAAATAAAAAAAAAAACTATTAGAACTTTCTTGAAAGATATGTCAAAGAATGCGCGAAATAAAACTTTGAAAAAACAATTCCGAAAAGCCCTGGCCAAACTCGGCGAAGCACTAGACTTCTGTGATTATCGTAGGTTCCAAAAAAAATTTTTTCTAATCTCACTAACGTCAAAGTTATCGCCTTCAGAGGCAAAGCCAGAGATCCATAACCTAATTCTGCATTCATCAAATTGACCCTTATCCTTCCGAATAACCATTTTTTTTTCCTTCTGTCCTCTTTCTCATTTAAGTATAAAAGAAAAATATAAGAATGATGATGGAAAAATATGAGAAGGGATGATGAAAAAGGAAGAAAGGAAGGATGGAAAAAATGAGGAGAAGTATTGAATTAGGTAAGAAATGTTTAGGTCCATTAAATCGCATACATTTCTTACCGTTACCACAGCTGGACCTCGTCAGTACGACGACTATGGTAACAATATAATTTAGCTAAGAGTAAGAATTAATTAAGATGAAAAGGATTAATTGATGAAAATGGTGTAAAGCCCTTTTTATTCAAGTTTTAATTCTTATTTCATCTGCAACTTACTGAAATTACATTGATTTTTTTTAAAAAAAAAGAACCAACTTTGAGCGGATCTTTTCGGATATACTCCGCATCTTCATCATTCACTGTTACTCGTCCAAAATCTTCACCGGGAACTTCATTTGGCAACAAAACATCTGCAAAAGAGGCGCATTTTAGAATGTTATACTTAAAAATCCTTTTATTGTGAGCCAAAAAAAGTCCCAGTTTCTCATCTTGATATAATTTTTAAGACATAATATAATAATATTACAACTTAGTTATAAGATGTAATTTTTAATAAGATACAATTATATCAAGATATAATTTTTAATGGAATACAATATATAATTTTTCAACCTATAAATAAACAGCCCAATTTTTTATTTTTGCAGCATGAAAGAAGGTAAGAGTGAGATAAAACGTTTCGGTCCATTAATAAAATTTTGTTATAAAAAAAAAGAGGAATAACAACCTGGCCCAATATTGAGGCAAATTTGTCGAAGTTCCGGATGCAGCGGTGCCAAAGAGAGTTCGGTGAATATGACAAATGATTGCTCTTTGAAATCGATGTCAGAGATTGCGACGAATTGCGAGAGTACACGAAAATTACAGTTGTGAAATGAGGATGCATCCTGGGGACTTTCACGTCGGATCGCTTGTAGAAGCTCTTCGTTTGCTATCGGAGCTGATGCTGCTGTGGTTGTTGCTGTGGACGACTGTTGCTCGCCACTTGACGTGGGCTCGCCTGACGTGGGTCTCACCGCAGTATCCACATCCATCGGATCACCCATCCTCAGCGGTTGGGCAAATTTCCTGGAATAACGGGAATGATGATAAGCCGATTGTAGCAACCAGGTTGACCGTGGAAGAGCAAATGGCGCGAGCGCGATAGATTACAGCATGAAAGAACAGTATGAGAAAAGAAAGAAGGCAAGAGAGTGAGATAAGACATTTTGGTCCATTAAGTCATATACGTCTTAACTCAACACCGCATAACTGTCCAAAGAAATCTCTCGCGTGACTCAGCTCAAAAAATCCTCCCAGGAACTCCCCTACTCCACAGTGATGGAAATGACGAATTCACGATACATATCAACACCAGCAGTGCAACCACTACCCTGGCCCACTCTCGCCGTCGCCCAGCTGAATTCAAACACCATTTGCGCAAGAATCATCTTCCTCTTTTTTTTGGACCCTCAATTACTAAAACTCGGCCCCGCTCACTCGCTCGTACAAGGCTCGTCTTCGCGATTCCCATCCAAGCCCGCAGGGTTTGGGTGCGAGTTGCTAAATAAAACAAAGACTGGAACGCACCAGGCGAGCCGGTGCGATCATGCGTTTTTGCATCAAAACTAAAGTA